GCGCTTGCCAGGCAGGCGCTTTGCCGCTGAGCTAAATCCCCAGCCCCACAAGATCTTGAGCACAGCCGTGTGCGGTGTCACCGTGTCCGCTAAGCAGGGTGCCGTTCCCTGCACACTATGCAGCGCTCAATGTTTGGTTCTTAGGAAATCATTTCGCCCTCAAAAACACAAATTGGTGCTGGAGTTCTCCCCAGGGGCTGCTAGGAGCCTAACAGTCGCATCCAGTGCGCCGTGCGGCCCGGAGCTGGGCCCTCGTGAGCTTGGCCGCCTCCCCTCTGGGTCCCTCCTCCCCCATGGGTCTTTTCTGCTCAGGAGGGTGGGGACGGCGACTGATGAGTGGGGCGGGGGGGGGGACACCTGGGCAGAAGGGGAGCCGCCTGGGGTGGGGGCATCTCCAGCGCGAGGAAGGGTCTCTGAGGGCTGACTTAACGGCAGAGCGAGGGGCCGCAGGTCAGTGAAGCGCACACTGTCAGCGCTTTCGTTTGGCGCTCACTGGTTGCAAAGTCATGAAGCCGTTTGCCTTTTGGCGAGTGACGTCTAGACCAGGCTGTTAGCCGCCCGCGCCCAGGGATGTTTGCGAAGCTCCCTCTCTGGGTACCCAGGATAGGGCTGGCAAGCTCAGTGCGTGTGACTCTCCTGAGCAGTGCTGTCCTTCTGTCCCTTAAGTGCCAGCGATTTGGGTGTGGACGCCTCGCCTTCCCTGTGACTGTGCGCCTGGCACATGTTGGTGCTACTGCTGCCCTCCAGGCTGGCGTGGCAGAGCCTGCACTGCTCCCTTGTCCTAAGGTGCACGGGCTGGCACCGCTGGGAGGATATAACTAGAGGGGGCCCAGGAGACTGTGGGGCCGGCGGGGGAATGGGGATGCCAGCACTCCCAGGCTGGTGAGACCTGCACAACCTCGGCGCTCCCTACCCAGGGCCTGAAGCGGAAACGTGTGTCCCCAGAGCAATGAACAGCCGTGAACAGCCCTCGCTGGGGCACTGATGACAACAGTCAGTGCGTTTTATTGCCAGGAATGCTGACCAGGGCACAGGAGGGGGCTCCCTCACCCTCAAGGGACAGGATGGAGAGCGCTGGGGAGCCTTGTCCGATCCAGCTGCCCGGCTGTGCGCCCCCGGCCTGATCCCACCCTCCAGCCACACCCCCTGGGCTTAGGGAACAAAATCTGTTTAAATTTGTCAGGGCCATAAGGCTGGGCTGGAAGTCCAGACACCTCTCCCCAGTGGCGACCCCTCTGTTGCGTCCAGAAGGGGGACCGGTGGACCTGGGCTTTTCCCAACCAAGGTTGGAGGCCTGCGGCCGTCACCTTGGGGGTGACGGGAGAGCAGCCAGATCCAAAGGGATGCGCAGGAAGTAGGAGGTGGCCGCACAGCTACTGCGGCGGTCAGGCACTCACCACCTGGCACCCACGTAGCACCAGCCACCTGCTGGGGGCGCCCAGTGTGGGTGCCCTAGCACCAGGTCCGGCGGGGAGGGCCACCCCCCACCCCCTCAGCGCCTCAAGGGCTCGGTGCCCCTCGAAGACACCAGGCCATACAGGTTGCTGTGTACCCTCGTCACCAGCTGGAAGCAGGGACCCCACCGTATGCCTGACAGCGTCAGGCCCGCCGTCAGGATGGCAGGGAAGGCCCTGGGGCAGCCCTGCTCCCAGTGTGCAGACTGTAAACTCAGGAGTGAAGATCAAAGCGGAGTAGTAGAAAGACCCCATGTTCCTGCAGAGCTGTGTCCCTGCAGCCGGTGAGCAGACCCCATCCTCACAGTCCCCCACACCAGGCCCGCAGGCCTGGGGGATGCTGGCCGAGGCGACCCTCTCAGGAGGCCCTGAGACACCCAGGCCCGACCCCAGCCGCCCTGCCGGCGCTCGGGGGCCTAGGAGTGGGCAGGCTGAGCGGGGCACACACCGTCCTTGCCGTCCAGCTGTGGGGTCAAACGAGAGAATCTGTGGATGAGGCCCGGAGCCTGAGGGACATCCTCCCCACCCCAGCGCTCACGGCCTGCACCTGCTGGTCCTGTCGGGGCGCCACACTGGGCTTCTGGGCCAGGGGTGGCTTCTTGGTGGCCCCGCGAGGGGCAGCGGTGGGCCGGCTGGGCTCCTCCTCGCCGGGCGGCCCCACGCCGCCGGCCAGCGCGTAGTGCTGCTTCCGCAGCTCCCCCAGCCGCACGCGCTCCGCCTCCAGCGTCTTCTCCAGCTCCAGCACGCGCACCTGCGTCGCACGGCCCGGTCAGCGCAGCGCCGGCCCCAGCGGGCACGAGGCTGTGGCCGGTCCGAGCTGCTCACCTGCGTCTCCATCTCCTGCTTTTTCAGCTTGATGAGGGACAGGCCGGAGAAGTCCATGGTGTCTGCGGTCAGGAGAGGAGGGGTTGAGGGTGCGGCGCCCACTTCCGCCTGGCCCGCGGTCCGCCCCTCCGTCGCCCCTGTCACCACCTCTGTCCTCGATCTGCTCCTGGCCCGACTTGGTGGAGGCCACCACGCCGGCGGCCCTCTCATTGACAGCGCGGGAGCACTCCTGCAGGCGGCCGAGGCACGGGCTGTGCTTGTCCGCCTTCACCTGGGGAGGGGACACGGGCAGAGTGGGCTGCACTCCCGGCCCGGGCCTCGGCCGCACCGTTTGTTGCGCGCGAGGGAAGCACAGCAGCGCGGCTCACCTTGGAGGCGGCCACCAGCTGGGCGGTGCTGGCCGCGATCTCGTGCGAGCACACGATGAGCTCCTCGTACTTGCCCGTGTGCAGCACCACCCTGTCCGCCGACTCCCTGCGGGCCGGGCGCGGCTGTCAGGGCCTGGCTTGCCCTCCCGCTGCTGCCCCCACCCCCGACTTCCCGGGCGGGCATCAGCCCCAGCCCCCAGCCGGGCACCTACACCAGCTGCGATGCTCCCCAGCCCACGGCCTTGGAGGCAGAGATGAGGCCCTCTGTCCACCGCGAGTTCTTGGCGTAGAATTCCTGCTGCGTGGCTGCCCCCTGGTGGCAGTGAGAGGACATCACAGGTGAGGAAAACGGGTCCCCTGGGCCGTGGACAGCACCCGCGCGCGTACGTGCGCGGCTCATCAGCTGCGCATCTCCAGGGCTCGTGCTCGAGGGACCAGGTCGGGGTCACGCCCTCCGGGAACCTGTCCCTGGCGGGCCGCTCTGTGGCTGTGACCCGGGCTCACCCTGCCGCTCTCCACAATCTCCTTCTGCAGGCTGGTGGAGGTCATCACCAGGAGCCGGATGGCCTGCAAAGCAAGACGTGCGGCTCTCGGGGTGCCCGCCCCGCCCCGCCCCACCCTGGAGAGCCTCCCCGCATGCCAGCGCCCGCTCACCTTCATCAGGTCTGTGCAGGAGTTGAGGATCCTGGGGAGCAGTGGGAGGAGAGTGTGGCAGGTGTGACGCTACGTGGGGCATGACCAGAGCAGGGCAGGGAAGCAGGTGGCAGCCAGGGGACCTCCCGGGGCTGGAACTGGGGTCGGGGAGGGCACTCCCTCGGGGCAGGAGCAGGACGCACCTCTCGTTCACCTCCAGCTTCAGCCCCGAGCTCTCGTGGCGGGCCTGGTTCATCATGTCCTGCACCCGGGGACAGCCGTGAGCCGGCCGGAGCGGGCAGTGTGCGAGGAAGGGGGCCCGGCCCTGCAGTCCTGGGTCAGGGCAAGAACCCCGGCCGCTCCTGCCCTCCCAGCTCTCACCTCAGAAGCCCGGGGAAATGCGGTCTGCACCCAGCCCCCAGGGCTCCTGCAGAAATAGGGGATCCTGAACCCCAGGCCTCACCTCAATCCTCCGCACAGCGTCCTCAATGGCCGCGGACGTAGCTGCCATCTCCTTGTCGACCACCGCCCCCAGCTCCTCCTGCCGCACATCCAGACTCTTGGGTTTCAGCTCCTGGGAGGAGAGCACCTCAGCGGACTGGCTCACGCTGCGCCCACAGGGAGCCTGGCGAGGGCTCTGGGGCCGCGGCTGGGAGGCCGCAGTCGCTCGCAGAACGGTCCCTTAGCCAGGCGCTGAGAAGGGCTGCAGGGAGCAGAGGGGATGCAGGAAGTTGGGAAATGCGGGAAGGTGGGTCCCAGCCTCGCCTCACCTGGCCCAGCTGGAGGATGCCCTGCAGGGGGCGCCGCACCAGGCTGGGCTGTGCCCGAGGCAGCGCCTGGCGCTCCTGCAGCTGCCCGGTGAGCTCCAGCGCCCGGGCCCCACACTCCCGGCAGGCGTCCATCAGGCCTGCAGAGGGACAGCATGAGCGGAGTCTTTACCGCGGGTCCCAGAGGAAGCCTCGCACCCCTGGCCGCGGCCACCGGGGCCCCACTTACGGTCAGCCGGGTCGGTGGGAGCCAGGTGGGAGGTGGCGCCCCCATTGACAATGGCATCCGCAGCCAGGTGGGAAAATCGGGTCAGGGCTGCCACCAAGGCGGAGGCGTCTGCAGGAAGGGTCGAGTCAGTTGGGTGAGGGGACGCGAGGTGCCAGGGCCCCGGTTCACGGATGCGGGAAGGCCTGCTCCTCTGCCCCTGCAGACACCTGCTGGCCAGTCCTGGCGCTTCCTGAAGTGGTGGCTGCTGTCCCAAAGACCTCCTCCCAGGTGGCCCGCAGGCCGCACTCACCCTCCGGGGAGGCCAGGTACTGGCTGTGGCCGTGCTCCAGCGTGCTCACGGCATCCAGGGCCACCTGAGCCCTGCTCACCAGGTAGGCTGCAAGCACAGGGTGGCCGTGAGGCCGGCAGCCCCTCCCGGGCCGGGGCGGGGCAGGGGCGGACACCCACCCGGAGAGCTGGTGCAGCGCAGGTGCAGGGGGTCGTCCAGCGCGCTCACGGCGTCCTGCAGGATGGCGCTGGCCTCGGCGGCAGCGCCCCGCACCACTGCAAACTGCTCGTCCAGCAGCCTCTGCCGCAGCTCCTGCTCCCGAGACTCCTGGGTGGTGGTGGGGGACAGGGACCCTGGAGACCCCTCCCAGGCCTCAGGACGGGGCCAGCTCCGGTCAAAGCCCACACCGTCCCAAGGACGCTGGGCCTGGGCGGGCCCTGCGCGGGCCGAGTGAGCGGCTCAACAGGGTAACGGACCTTGTCCCAAGCAGCCGGTCCAGAGACCGCCCGGGAGGGCGCCAAAGCCGCGCTCAGGGCCGCCCCGGGCGCTGGCGGCGCGGAGGCACTGGAGCCGGCGTCGAGGGTCTGCAGAGCGTGACGCCGACGCCACCAGAGCCGACACCGGCCCGGCGCCCGCAGGACGACGCAGCAACCCCTACCTTCTCTGCCAGCCGCCCCTGCAGCTCGGCCCTCTCCTGGTCGCTGCGCTGCCGCTCCTGGCTCAGCGCCGCCTCCTTCTCCTGCGCCAGGCCCTGGGCAGCCCGCAGCTCCGCCTCCCGCTGCCGCACGGAGCCGCTCAGCGCGTCCCTCTCGGCGCTCAGCGCGTCCAGCCGCGAGCTCAGCTCCGACCCGCTCTGCGGAGGCACGCGCGGCCCCAGGCTCAGGGCGGGGTCCTGTTTCCTGTCTGTCGCCCCCTGGGTGTGGGTCTGGGCCCCCATGTCACCGTGCGTGGCCCGGCTCGCGTGCAGACCTGGTCTGAATGTCCCAGCCGGGTCCCAGCACCCCGGCCACCCGGCCCTCACAGCACCTGCTCCGTGCGGCTCAGGGACTCCTGCGCGTGCGCCAGCTCGCCCGCCTTGGCCTCCAGCTCCCTCTTGAGCTTCTGCAGCTGGTCAGTCTGCTCCTCCAGCTGGGACACGAACGAGCGTCACCGGGGCTGGCGGTGGGGACATGGGGCGCGGCCTGGAACACCGGGACCCAGGGGCCGTACCTTCATCTCAGACTCCCTCTTCACCTGCTCCATCTGGAAGGCCAGCTGCTCCTTCACCCGCGCCACCTCCTCCTGGCTCTGCTGTGTCACCGTCAGCTGCTTGGCCGTGTCGGCGCTCTGCAGGCCAAGGGAAGCCGGGCTCAGCACTGCCCCCGGCCCGAGGGCGGCGCGGGCGCGGGCGCAGGCGCCTACCTTCCTGAGCAGCTCGGCGTGCGTGTTGATCAGCTCGCTGTGCTTCTCCTTCAGCTTGCTGTAGCGCGCCTCGGTGGCACTCGCCTTCCCTGCGGGGAGGACAGCGGCTGAGGTCGTAGTCGGGTAGGGACCCTGCCCAGCGCCACTGCCCAGCTGCCGGCGCTGCACGCACTCTCCGCCTCCTCGCGCAGGCCCTGGTTCCGCGCGCCCTCTTGCTGTGCGGCCCGCAGCTGGGCCAGCTCGTGGCGGAGCTGCTCATTGTCCACCAGGGCCCTCTGCTTCTGCTTGCGCTGCTCCTCCAGCTCGGCCTCCAGGGCGTTCACCTGGCCCTTCAGCTGCGCCACGTACCGCTGGGCCTGCGGACGACGTGGGGACGGTGTGGGGCTCATGCCGCCTGGGCGCCCGCCTTGTGCCCGCCCGCAGCCGCCCACCCGCCTCACCTCCAGCTTGATCTTCTCCAGCTCGGCGCGGAGCAGCTCCACCTCCCTCTTCAGGTTCTCTATCTGGAGGTCCCTGGGTAGACGTCCTGGGGCTCAAGCCCAGCACCCGGGAGCGCCTCTCCCCTGTGGCCCCCAGGTGTGTCCTGAGCTCGAGCTCCCTGTGGACAGGGCCTCCCCACCCGCACTCCCGGCCTCACCTGTCGTCCTTCATGGAGCCGTTGGGGGGTCCAAAGGTCTGATCGAAGAGGTCAGGCACCACCTGCACGGCAAGGCACAGTGACCCCCACCCCTCCCCTGCGCCCCAGCCACCCGGTGCCCCCAGCCTTGCGGGGCAGGAGGAGGGGACACCAGCACGGGGTGCGGGGTGCTCACCGCAGGCTCCCCAGCAGGGGGCCCAGTGCTGATCTCGATGAGGTTCTCGGGCTCCTCGTCCTCCGGGGCCTCCTCGGGGATCACCACCACGGGCTTGATGTGCTCAGCCAGGGCTGAGGCCCGCAGGAAGTTGGGGGGACTCTGCAGGGACAGAAGTTGGGGCGGCTCAGCCACCCTCCCCTGCGGTCCCCACAGCCCAGGGGCGGGGTGCGGGCACCTCAGGCAGCCGGGGGATCTGGATGAGCCGCTTGAAGTAGATCATGTCCGAGGCTCTGCGGAAGAAGTTCCGGAGACTGCGGGCAGAGACGGGGAGGGACGCGTCACCGAGGGGCCGCAGGGCCCGTGCAGCCGGGCCCACCCGTGCCGGTACCTGTGGAACTGCTCGTGGAACCGGTCCCGGTGGCCTTGCAGGGTGTCCGCCGGGAGACCTGGGGGCAGCACAGGTTGAGGGGCGCGACCTCTCCGCACGCCGCTCTGGCTCCCCTCCTCTACCTGCTGCATCCCCGTTCTGGACCCTCAGATCAGAGACACCCGTGACCCACATCAGATCACCGCAAAGGGCGCCAAGCGTCCAGACCCTTTCCCACACCACAGGACAGGTGCCTTTCCACTCCTGTTCCCCCAGGATGAAGTGGACAGATTCCAGAGCAGCTGAGGGGCCGCTGTCCTTGCCTGAGCCAGGCTTTCCTGTCACAAGGGGCCGGGCACGGCGGCATAGCCTGTCCTGTCAGCAGTCTCGGGGTTGGAGGCGGGACTGCACGTCTGAGCTCGGCCTGGGCAACTTAATGACCGTCCGAGACCTTGTCTTGGAACGGTGAAAAGGGGCTCGGGTGTCATCAATGTGAACGCCCCGGTGCAACCCTCGTGCCAAAACAAAGCCATGAAAGAGTAGGACTACGCCACTCCACTCCGGTGCTTCTCCTGCTTTGGGAAACAGTGATTGTTTTCACAGAACCCATTCTCTACACACATGGTAAGAGCTCACTGTCACTCGTCTGACAGCGCCGGGGCAACTCACAGGAGTGCAGCTTGAACAGCAGCTTGACTGTGTAGTGGTAGAGGTGGCTGCAGTCCTGGATGACCTGGATGAGCGGGGCCAGGCGGCACTGGCCCGAGGCCATCTGGGACACTGCAATGGCCGTGTTCAGCTGCCGGAACACTGTGGGATGGGCGGGAGGGGCGCGCATGAGTGGCGCAGCTGGAGCCCTGGCCCAGGCAGCTGCGCCAACTGCAGGAGCAACGGAGTGGCCATCACTGCAAGGTCACAGCGGGGTGGTGGGACAGGGAGACAGCTCCGTGCTGCACTCCACCTGCTGTGAAGTGTAGAGAAGGACGGGTGGGACCAGGATCCCAGCCCTCACCGCCCCTAGGCCAACAATCAGGCCTGAGTCTGAAGAAGGAGCCCGCAGGTCAAAGAACAAACACGACTGTCTCCGCCCTGCCCGCAGCTTCTCCAGGACAAAGAGCAGGCAGCGGGCCAGGGCGCACAGTGACTGGGCAGCCCCTCACAGAGCACACGAGCGGACTCTGGGGGACGGGGGAGGAGCAGCAGAGCACTTCCACCCCTCCACTTCCAGTTCGCACCACGCCAGGCCTGGAGCGCGCAGGACCGGAGCCACGTAGCACCTGCTTAGCTGCCGCGGCCCACTGCCAGGTGTTTCCTGGCCACCGCGGCGTCGCGCACATCTCAGCAGCCGCCCTGTTCCCGGCCACGGAGCCGCTGGGGTGGGGACCCCTGCACCTGGGCACCACCAGGATGACCTCATTTGCTGCTTCCTCAAGACATCTGTGTCACGTGGGTGGGGCCTGCTGCTGCCCACGTCGGCTCCTCCCGGGCTAGAGCAGCCCGGTGGGGACATGGGATGTGGCCCCCACCTGGTGCCCTCTGGGCCATGAGGACTTGGGCTCGGCACCTCTACCAGGACGCAAAGCCACAGCCCAGGCACTGCTGCACCGCAGAGCCCAGCCCTGCACACTGCCTTGGGCGCCATCCTGGGCCGGGCCCAGAGCGCTGTCAGACCCGGCTCGGAGCCAGCGCAGGGCTCCGCCAGCCTCGACTCCAGCATCTGCTGCTTGCGCTGCTATGGAGCATCCTGGGGTCCCCATTTCCTGCTTGCCAGTGACTCCCGGGCTAGGAAGCCCTGCGTGACTCAGAGGTGGCCATCGTGACCCGAAGGGCCTTTCCCAGGGAGGGGCGCTGCCGGAGCCTGTGGTAGGCAGAAACTGGGACGACACCCACGCCCCAGGCCCCCGCGTCTCGGGACCACTGGGGTGAAGCTCACGGTGCAAGGACAGCCAAGACTGTGTGCCCGCGGCAGGTCAGTCGCGCTTTGGAGGTACCTATTCCTAGGACGGGTGTGGACCCCAGAGGAACAGGAGCTTTTAAGAACTTGTTTTTGTGGTGCTGGGGCTTAAATCCCAAGTGCTCTACCACTGAGACAAGATCTTGCTAAGTTGTCCAGGCTGGCTCCAAACTTTCAATCTTCCTGCCTCAGCCTCCCAACTACCAGGGATTGCGGGTGTGCATCACCACCACTGGCGTACATTTAAGAACACTGTCAGCGGCTAGGTACAGCTCAGCGACCAAGTGCTGGCCTGGAGGCCAGTGGCCTGGGTCTGAGCTCCGGCCAGGTATCAGCCTAACCATTGGTGCAGCCAGGCGCCCTCTCTGGCGGCTCACCTGACTCTGACAGCTTCAGCTCGCAGTCCATGTAGTCGAACATCTCCACAGTGAGCTGGAAGCTGCAAGGTGAGAGGGAAGCAGCGGGTGCTGGGGTGCTGGGCCCCACCTGTCCCCAAGTCGGGAGGGTGCCGGGAGCCTCGGGGCGGGAGGGACATGTCCAGGTTCCAGATGAACCCGGCCTCCCCTCCTGCCCACGCTCCTGGTGCGAGGTGCTCTGGATCTCCCTCGGGGAAGTGGTGGAGGAGACTCACATATTGTTGACATTGGTCCCAGCCGCCTTCTCCAGCACCTCGTCGGTCACCTCCAGGCCCGCAGGAAACTGGGGGTGCTGCAGAGAGACGCCAGCTGCAGGCAGGATGGCAGCCCACACGCAGCCCTCCCGGCGCTGCCCTGGCAGGCCAGCCCTGCCCAGCTCTCCATGTGGACAGCAGGTGGGGAGGCCCCAGCTGGGCGATGCTGCTGCCCTGACCTCGAGGCGGGGGTCTGGAGAGACCCTGGGGAGGGGCAGAGGGCAGGCCCCAGCCAGGACAGACCCACCCAGGATGTCGCAGCGGGAAGAGCCTGCGGCCCCGGCTCACAGCCCCCAAGAAACTACCTTGAGGTGGAAGGAGATTTTGGTCAACAGAAGTTTGGTGTAGACGTTCACCAGCTGCCCGTAGCGGTCGTGCAAGTGGCCCTACAGGGACAGAGCTCAGTGAGGCCACTGCCCGGAGGCCAGGCCCGAGGGTCCAGGCACCAGGCAGGCCAGGAAACAGGTGGGAAGGGGAGGGGATGCACTCCCTCACTCAGCAGTCACTTATCCACTCAGCAGTCGCTGCCCGGGCCCCCACCGCTGTCTCTACTTGCCCTTATCTCAGTCCTGCTTGTTCTAGCCAGGGCGCTCTCCTGAGAAGAGGGCACTTTGTCCAGGGCAATGGGCCAGTTCCGCCCGGGACACCTCATGAAAGTGCCACGGGCAGATAAGGGAGGCACGCGGGACGCCTGCCCTGTCCTGGTCCTCCTGGCTCCGCCACCCACACTGCAGCCCGGGCTGTCTACGGAGGCCCTGTGAGCCCGCGTCCCTGACATCCAGGGACAAGGATAAAATGCAGGGGTCCCTCAGGTCTGTTCTGGGGACCCTGCCTGCTGATGAGAGAGCAGGGGCTGAGACCCTGCTCCCACCCGGGGACCCTAACTCCATCCGGAGCCTCAGAGCACTCTGCCTAGAGCGGCCTGCAGAGCAAGCGGGAAACGCGGCCCCCACCCGACTGTACAGAGCCAGAGTCTGCACCCCCAGATGGACTCTCTGAACGCCACCTGGGACGGCCAGTCCCGGCACCACGAGCCCCAGGGCCCATCAGCAATGGGATCACCCCAGCCAGGCCCGAAAGCAAGGCTCTGAAAGCAACCCACCGGCTTTGCTCTGACACACCCCTGCCCCCCGCCCGACCTCTGCCCACAGAAGAGGGCGAGAGGCGGGTCCCCCGCATGGCCGAGTCACCGAGACAGGGCACCTACCCACAGGTCCCCGATCTCCCGGATGTTGCTCCGGTAGCGCTGGCAGTCGTGCAGCACCTGCGGAGGGGCGAGGGAGTGAGGCGCTGCCGGGGCGGGGCCCCGGGGCGGCGAGGGAGGCACTCACGTTGGCGTGGCCGTCCCGCAGGACCTTGTGCAGCACGTGGCAGAACTTCCAGCTGAGGATGGAGCTGCTGGGCAGCGGCAGGCCGATGGCGTAGGACCAGAAGGTGAAGGCGCCCTTCTCGTGGTGCGTGCCCAGGATGATGCCTACGAGGTCAAGGCCAAGTGCGGGCACAGGGACGGAGCAGGCCGCGGGGTCGGGGCGCCCCAGAGAGGCAGGCACGCGAGAGATGCAGGGTGGCGGCCCGCACCCCCACGCACCCCGCCCGGGCGTGGAGCTGAGGTTTCCAGCCGGGGCAGGAGGACAGGATTGTGGAGGTTGTGCCCACACTTTAACCGCTCCCCGGTTCCCAGCACACCCCGGGCGGGACTGCACACGCTGCCGTGCTGTCCCTGGCCTGGGGACCCAGCACGGACACAAGGATACGCCGGGCATGCTTCTCCTTCACGGGGGCTTCCTGGCTGTTGATGGCCTTGCTGATGCTGATGGCCTGTGGGCACAACGGAGGCAGCTGTCGAAAGCCACTGGGGCTCTCGGGGGCCACCGAGGGCAGAGGCCCCGCACCCAGGTGGCCGGGGCAGGGACAAGGGAGCGTCCCCTCGCCCTGAGCCCCCGCTGGTTGAGCCCTTGCTGAAGCTCAGCTGACGCCCAGCACCAGAGCCACGGAGCTTCCCGGGCTCTGGGAAGGACAGGTGGAGGCTGTGCTGGTGGCCCGGGTGACACTGCTCCCCCACCCACCCGACGGGCGCCCAGCCCACAGCGGCCTCTGTCCTCAGGGAGGAGCCCAGGAGCCCTGACACCAGATCCCCCAGCCAGGACACTGTTCCTCCCATGAAGGGCAACACTGTCCCCTCTCCAGGGAGGAGGCCACCCGCGTCGGCCACTAGGGGGCCTTGTTCCTGGTCCTGACGCAGCACCCCCCGCGCAGACGTCACACAGGGAGGGTAAGGAGCACGGACGACGCTGCTTGGCACCCCGGGGCCCCTGAGACGCAGCTCTCCCTGCTCCCGGCTCAGGGCTCCTCGCCCAGGACGCTGGGGCACAGCAGCGCTGTCACCAGGCCCCGCCTGCAGCAAGTCCTCTCCTCCTGGCAACAGGGCTGGCAAGCAGGCCGAGGGCAGCAGGAGGAGTGGACACTGAGCCTGCTGCCTCCCAGGGCTGCCCAGGGCAGCGTGGTGCGCTCTGTGGGCCACTGCACTCCCCACCCCGGGGCTCCCCTGCCGGGCACAGCGATTCTACCCGCGAGGCCGCAGCTGCCCCTCCACACACAGGCCGCGGGAACCCTCCGCCCACTGTGCTTCAGTGGGGACGACCGGCTTCCGCCATTCGCTCACAAGGCCGGACCACGCTGCGCAGCAGCCGGGTCCCAGCAGCCCCGGAAGATGACACTCTGTGGTGGGAGAATCCGCCCAGCAGTGACACTGGTCGCTGAGCACACAGCTGCCACAGCCCACAGCCTCGGCAGGGCCCCGGGGAGGACATGATGTCCCCTCTTCCTCCTTCCTCTCCTGCCCGCTTGCTTTCTTTTAGTACTGGGGAGCGAACTCAAGGCCTTTCCACTGAGCTACATCCCCAGCCACTTTTTATTTTGAAAAAGGGTCTCATTAAGTCACTGCTAGGTTGCTTAGGCTGAGCTTTGACTTGAAATCCTCCTGCCTCAGCCTCCCGTAGTGCCAGAGTTACAGGTCTTCACCACCGTGACAGCTGGTTTAAGATGCCTCTTTCTTGGAGAGGAAACTGAAGCTCAGGCGATTAGGTATCTCGTCTGTCTCCTCTAACAAAGGGCAGAGCTAGCGCTCGAAGCAGGTGTGCCTGCTTCTGCGTCCCACAGCCTTTGTGACCATCACCCGCTCCCAGGCGCCGCCTTCCCCATGGCAGGGGCTCACGGCGGTGGCACTGCCTCCCTGCAAGCCAGGCGTGTCCCGTTTGCTTATGGGACACAGTCCCGTAAGCTGTGTAACCCAGTCTCAGCCAGCCTGACATCTGAGCTGGCTCTAGTGATGACTGCCGCCTGATCCACAAGACTCCTGTGAGGCGGCTGCAGACCACGTTGCCCCGCTGCCAGGCGGCTTCTCAGGGCCCCCTGCGCCCTCTGCCCTCTGCCACCTCTCCACATGCCTGGGCCCGGACAGTGACACGCTCCTGGCTTGCATCCTCAGTCAGCTGCTGGGATGGCAGCACCACTCGCGGAGCGGTCCTGCCTGTCCAGGGGCTCCTGCGCATGGAGTCATCTCCGAATCAGGGAGCCGGGGATGCAGCCACAGAGGACAGGACGGTGTCAGTCAGGCGCCGCTGGCCTGGAACACAGGCCCGTTGTGTGGGCGGCAGATGTGTGGGGTGGCCAGGCGCCGCACAAGGGGGCCCAGTGCTCACACAGTGCGGGTTTGTGGGCACCCCAGCCTCTCCACCCCTCCCAGGCAGCAGCCAGGCCTCATCCCAGAGTGGGCAGGGTGACAGGGTGGCCTCGGATAGGGTCCTCGCTGCCAGGCGTCCTGAGAGCTCTCGGGGTGCTAAGGCGCCAGCAGGGCCTGACTCTGGTGACACTGCTTCGCAGCATGCCGCCCACCTGCCTGGTGGAGCTCACTTCTTTAAGGAGGGATGCTCCTGGAAGCCCAGGCCTCGCTACGGGCTCTCCGGCCAGGGGCCCTGGGAAGCCCTGGGGCCACAACTGTCCTAGCAGGCAGGGACACGGGTAATTAGTCCTGAGGCCCACGGGGTACACCTCCACGGAGAGAAACCTTCCAGGATCGTGACCTTGAAGGCGAAGTAGAAACCCAGCACTGGGGACAGAAGGGTGCTAAGGACAGTGGTGACTATTTCAGGGGTGTCCATCTGCTGCTGCCTGGCACCCCGACTCCTGTCAGACTCGTAGGGAGGAGGCTCAGACAGTCCAGAAAAGCAGCCTCCACTCGACTCCCCCCCGGCTGGGTGCACTTGGGGCCAGTGTGTGGAACTGCGGCGGCCTTGGGGGTGGCCCTCCCCACTCCCGCAGAGGCACGGGTGGCAGGCAGGTGCAGTCTCCAGGGCAGGAGTTCTAGGGAGGGAGCGGCGGGCTAGGACAGCGCAGGGTGGACAGGTGTGGGCAGGGGACCAGCCCGGCACCGTGCCGTGAGCCAGCCAGTCACGGCACCACTGCACAGAGCCTTGCTGTGCCCCAGCCTGTGCCCGCCTCTGTCCTCCACCCAAGAGCCAGGGTCCACTCCAGCCTCCTCCACCGCCCAGCTCAGGGCTGCAGCGCCCCTCCTGCGCCCACAGCCACCTTCTACGTGCTCTCACATCCTGCTTATCCCCATCTGCAGCACTGCCGTCACGTCTGTCTGCCACTATACGCTGCCCCCTCCCCGACCCCTGGAATGGAAGCACAGGTGACCCGCAGCGCCCACCTCTGCAGCTCCAGGTCGGCCACCGTCCAGTGACACACAGGAGGGAGGACCGTGCACTGCACGCGGTCAGGCTTCTCTGTCGCGCTTCCCCAGGGACGGAGCACCGCCACCTGCACAGGGCGTTTCCAGCGCACCGGCACTACCAGGACGCGGGTCAGAGCTCACAGGACTGCAGAGCTAGTGCGCAAACCCGCCCCACTCCGCACAGACTCGAGCTTCCGCAGCCCCAGAGCTGCTCCCCGCAGACACAAGGGTCAAGCGCCCTCCGGCTCCCCGCTGCAGCCCCGCACCATGCCTGGCCATCACCCATCTGTCATTTTTTGTTTTATTTTTCTGCAGCGCTGGGGGCTGAGCGCAGGGCCTGACGCGCTGGGCAAGTGCTCGGCTGCCCCTCCTCGCCTGCCCCAAGCCCAGTAAATCTTTCCTGGACACGTGTGAGAGGGACACTCGGACGCACAAAGCACTTTCCAACCGAGGGCTGGGCAACTGCAAGGCGCTGCCTCTCTTTCCAGCTAATAATTTAGCCACAAGAGCTAAATGGTAAAGTAGCTATAAAACGATTCCTGTTTTTAAAATCAACCCTGGAATGAATCAACTTAAGCCTCCTTGTGCTGTTATCACGAGGCCCACAGCAGCCCTTGGCAGGGACAGAAACGCTCTTCAGAGCGCCGCGGCGGGGAGGCTGGCAGCACGCTGGGTCATTCTGCTCTGTGCTTTCAGGACGGAGCGCGCTCATTCAGGCACCCGCGCCGCCTCAAAGGCCACGGATGACGGCACACGGCACTCCTGTGGCCGCGGCGGCCGAGACAGGCCACACGCACAGCAGAGACGACTGCTGCCCCGACAGGAAGCGCCAGGCTGCCACGCTCGGCCGTCCCTCTCCACCGGCGCCCCTGCCCCATGGGTCCCAGCCCGCCACCACCCCCGTTCAGGAAACTGGGCCACAGCAGCTCAAACGTCCGAGAGAGCCCCAGGGAGAATCCACGCTGGCGAGGATGCCGACAAATCCATAGCCCAACCCACTGCCACCTGTGTTCCTGGCTCTGCGGGTGACACACGGAGCAGGAAGACCGACCCTGAGTCACACCTCCACCACGCCAGTCGTGGAGCAGGCCGGGACCCAGCCCGGTGGTTTCGCTCCCGGGCACTGGTGAAGTCACTGCAGACCTGTCTGTCCCACAAGCCAGGGCACTGAGTCACTCGCTCCCCAGCAGACGAGCCCGTGGCAGTTTGAGGCTGGTGTTTATTTGCACCGGAGGAAAAAGCAGTTGCACCTAAGCTACATCTGCACGGGCATGTCACCAAGGATGGCACCCAAGAGGGCTGCTGCGGGCCCCGGGCCAAGCCTACTCAGTAGCAGGCCGTCGTGCCCAAGAATTTTGGGCCATAGTGGACGGACAGGTGCTGACCAGGGCTGAAGCAGGCCCAGCCTCACATCTGTCCTCTGCTTCCGGCTCCGCAAGGGGACATGGGGACAAACTGTGCCATGGGGACGAGGGAGGCGCAGGAAAGTTCTGGCGGAGGAGGCTTCACAAACAGCGGGTGGCTTTACAAACAGGGTGACACCTGAGCCAGCCCTGACTTAAGTAGGAGCTGGCAGGCGGGCAGCAGAGCTGGGGCAGGCAAGGCCGCCAAGCACAGTCCCCCGGCAGGGCCAAGGTCTCTGGTTGGCAGCTGGGTTTCTCTGATGCCGCTCCAGAGGTTTCTACTCCAGAGGTTTCCATTCGGGCCGCCTGGGTTTCATTCACAAGTTCCAGGCTGGATCCCGGCCTCAGGGCCATGTCTGCACTCTCCTCCTATTAGGGAGGACCATTCTAGCCAGGTGGGTGGCACACAACTATAATCCCAGCTACTCGAGAGGCTGAGGCAGGAGGAACAAGCATTCAAGGCCAAGCTGTGCAATTAATAAGACCCAACACAAAATAAAAAAGAGCTGAGGAAGTAGCTCGGTGTAGAACCCTTGCCTTGCACACACGAGGTTCTGAGTTCAAGCCCCAGGACTGCAAATGTGGGGGTCAGTTCCCAGGCCACTTTGGCCCCACGCTCCCTGGGGTGCCCTCCCTTATATGCCCCCTGCAGCGCGGCTATCCTGGAGAACATCTGGAAG